GGTCATGATCTCACGGTTCATGAGTATGAGCCCCAGGTCGGGCTCTATGCTGACAGCTCAGGGCCTGGAGCCTGCTTCTGATTCTGTGTCTCCCTCCCCTCAGCTCCTCCCCTGCTCACACTCTGTCTCTTTCTCAAAATAAATAAAGATTAAAAAAAAAAAAGTTTTTTCAAAAAATAAAAGGGGGACATAAGATTCTTATACATTGCTGGCAACAGTATAACTATAATCTTTTAAAAAGCAATTTAGCAATCATATTCACTGATCCACTAATTGCCTATTTAAGAATCTACTGAAAGGAAATATTCAGAATGTATATGCACAAAAATATTCACTAGTGCATTTTTATAATTAAAAAACGTAAGCAAATTAGGGGCACCTGGGTGGTTCAGTCAGTTCAGTGCCTGACTTGGGCTCAGGGCACGATCTCACAGTTCGTGAGTTTGAGGCCCACGTTGGGCTCTCTGCTGTCAGCACAGAACCCACTCTGAATCCTCTGTCCCCCTCTCTCTCTGCCCCTCCCCTGCTTGCGATCTCTCAAAAATAAACATTTTAAAAAAATTAAAGTAAAATAAGCAAATTAAATGTACAACAGAAAAATGAGTAAATTGCAGCAAATCGATATACTATAACAATTACATAGGTATAAAAAAGTATGTTTTCAAAATAAATGTTTTTAAATTTTTTTTAATGTTTATTTTTGAGAGAGAGCATGAGTGGGGAAGGGCAGAGAGAGAGGGAGACACAGAATCCAAAGCAGGCTCCAGGCTCTGAGTTGTCAACACAGAGCCCGACACAGGACTCGACCTCATGAACCATGAGATCATGACCTGAGCCGAAGTCGGAAGCTTAACCAACTGAGCCACCCAGGCACCCCTCAAAAATTATTTAATGATAAGGAACATGGAGTAATAAGACAAAAATGAGATAAAAATTATATATTATATGATCCAATTCCTTTTATTTACATGCATATTTGTGTATATATATATATATATATACACATCTATATTATTAATTTGTTGATTATAACATTAATTATATTTACATATGTAAAGTATACACACATGGAAAAAAGAGTGCTGGAAGAAAATATACCAAAGTGTTACCAATGATTATTTCTAAATGATGTAATTAGATAATATCTTCCTTGAACTTTTCATTATTTCCTAAAGTTGAATCTTAAGTTTAAACTTCCCAATGTTTCCTTAAAATGTAACCCTCCCTGTTAGGTTACATTTCCTTAAAATGTAACCCTCACTATTTCAAAAACAATGAGGCTCCAGATTTTACTTCAGGAGTGTCAAAAGACACCTATAAACTGTTTATGTAGATAGCTTTAAATATGTAATATGAAACTCCCATAACTGATTTCAGATTCAAGGAATATTAATTCTAACACTACCAATATTTCACTATAACAAAATATACTTACCTTTCCTCTAGCATAATATCTTTAAAAATGTTTTCGGACTATAAAATTAGGACATCTTAATACAGAAAACATAAAGAATAAAATAAAAGTCACCAAAATGCCCATTTATTTATGGTATATTTCTTTCCAACATTAAAAAAAATAAGTCAACTGATTTTTAAATAGATTTCTAATGCTTATATATTTCCATATCTTTGTAGATCACATTCTATGTAAATAATTATAATACTTTTGATACTAAATGTATGTTCATTGTAACAGTAGTGAACTATTATTTTTTTCAAGGCATTCATTTCCATACCAAGCAATAATATCATTCATTAGATAAAATTTCACATTTATTAGAAGTATTTTTTTTTTAATTTTTTTTTTCAACGTTTATTTATTTTTGGGACAGAGAGAGACAGAGCATGAACGGGGAAGGGGCAGAGAGAGAGGGAGACAGAGAATCGGAAACAGGCTCCAGGCTCTGAGCCATCAGCCCAGAGCCTGACGCGGGGCTCGAACTCACGGACCGCGAGATCGTGACCTGGCTGAAGTCGGACGCTTAACCGACTGCGCCACCCAGGCGCCCCTATTAGAAGTTTTCAAATTGGCATAATTCTTTTCAAGATCCCAAGAGAGTTAGCTTACTTTGAAATTACATTTGATATCATCACACCTTTTAAAACAAATTTAATAAACAGAAAATACTGCTTTATATTGTTAAATTCTAATAGTAGCAGGAAGGGACTTACGATATGAAAAGGCAAAGGAAATATTCCATGATATTGGTAATTCTAGCAGAGTGGTAAATTTTGCTCTATAAATCTCTTACCTTTGCAGTTAGAATCAGAAGGCAAAAGGTCAGAACTGCTGGCATTTTTATAATTGCAAAAAGCAGCTTGTAAGTATCTGTGATCCCTTGAGTTTCTTCTTTTCCTACTGATACTTCTTTGTTTTCTTTTTTCAGAAGGGCAACTAGAGTTGTTGTTATCAAAAATACAGTTCCCCAGAAAAAAAGGAAATCTGAAATTAAAAAGTTAAAATCTATTAACTTTTTTTGTTTATTTATTTTTAAGAGAGAGAGAGAGAGACAGAGTGTGAGCATGGGAGGGGCAGAGAGAAAGGAGACACAGAATAAGCACAGGTTCCAGGCTTTTGAGTTGTCAGCACAGAGCCCCATGCGGGGCTCAAACTCATAATTCATGAGATCGTGAAGTGAGCTGGTTGGACGCTCAACTGGCACCCCTGTTAACTAACTTTTGAACTGACATATCTGCGTTGATACTAAATAATTCTGTATACAACTTTACTTCAATTAAGTGGGGTTTTTTTTAATATTTATTTTTGAGAGACAGAGACAAAGCACAAATGGGAGAGGAGCAGAGTGAGAGGGAGACAAAGAATCTGAAGCAGGCCCTGAACTGTCTGCAGAGCCAGACACAGGGCTCAAACTCATGAACCGTGAGATCATGACCTGAGCTGAAGTCAGACGCTCAACCGACTGAGCCACCCAGGAGCCCCAACAATTAAATGTTTAAAAAAAAACAAACAAAACAAAACAATACTTAGGTGTTCAAGGCAACAAACATATCAAGCATAGCAGATAAACAGTCCTGGCTCTGTTGAACATATATTATATAGACAAAATAAACAGTGATGTCTAACAAGGAAAAAGAAATGGAATGCAGATATTTGTGGGCTGAATGAAACCAAAGTCTATCATGTCATTTTCTTCAAGGAAAGTGTGAGCTAGGGGTGACCGATGATTTTCGTATACCATATGATCCATCAGTCATACTTATTTTTTCTAAGTTTTTTTGTTTATTTATTTAATCTCTACACCCAACGTGGGGCTCAAACTCACAACCCTTAGATCGAGTTGTATGCTTTTCCACATAAGTCATACTTAAGCACAGAAGCCATTTCAGTTCTTTATTGAATTGTGACAACTTAGACAACAGATGCTCATTTACATTTTCCAACTTTTATTTTTAAACTTTCTAATGTTTTTATCTGTTTAGGAAAATAGGCTTCAATAGTGTGATACAGAAGGAACTTCCTCATTACTTGTACATGCACAATGGGGACAAATGAAGAGTACTGTTTGGGTTGTTTCAGTGAGAGACAGCTGGGCAATTAGCCATTTTTTTTTTAACAAATTAAGCACAGGGAATGAATAATTTCTGGAAGCTTCTGCATAATAATTAAAAGTAATAGTAGTATTAGAGGCACCATTTATTAAGTACGCATGTGTCACAAATGTGCTAAGCATTTTACCTATGTATCTTTTTTTTAAATTTTTTAAATGTTTATTTTTGAAAGAGACAGAGACAGAGTGCAAGTGGGGTAGAGGCAAAGAGACAGAGAGAGAGACATAGAGAGAGAAAGAGAGAGAGAGAGAATCTGAAGTAGGCTCCAGGCTTTGGGCTGTCAGCACAGAGCCCAATGTGGGGCTCGAACTCACTGACCGTGAGTTCAAGACCTGAGCCTGAAGTCGGAAGCTTCACCGACTGAGCCACCCAGGCACCCCAGGCATATAGAATTATCTGTTTAGACCAATTTCACCTTACCATTTTTTTAAAGATTTATTTATTATTTAAATTCATTTTTGAGAGAGAGAAAGACAGCGAGCAGGGGAGGGGCAGAGGGAGAGAGTGAGAGAGAGAATCCCAAGCAGGCTCTGCACTGACAGTGTGGAACCAGTGGGGCTCAAACTTACAACTCTAAGATCAAGAGTCTCCTGCTCTACTGACTAAGCCACCCAGGCGTCCCTCACCCTATTACTTAAATGCTTCTTTCTTTGTTATCTCATTTGATTTTCACAGCAAACATGTGAGACCAGCAAAGCAGGTATTATTATTATGTGGGTACACATGAGGAAAAGAAGCTCAGAATATTTAAATCTTTGCCAAAGCTCAAATAATTAAGAGGCAGAATTTGAACCTAAATCTTCTGAACTGGAGTTTCATACTCTTTCAATTATTTCACACTGCCTGCACAAAGATTTTTTTTTAAAGTTAATGTTGAAATAAGAATCCACTAGAATTGGCTAATTATTCAGTCTCCACAATGCTATTCAAATTATGCAAATTAAAGAAACTAAGTCTTTAAACATACATGGAAATTTGTTTTTTGGAGTCAATTCTTTTTTCCACCATGAGAAATTTATAATTAATTTTAGATGTTAAAAGAAAAATATGAAACATTCTTAAACACAAAGGTATCCATTTTATTTATTTTTTCTAATGTTTTTTATTTATTTTTGACAAAGAGAGAGACAGAGCACAAGTGGGGGATGGGCAGAGAGGGAGTCACAGAATCTGAAGCAGGCTCCAGGCTGCGAGCTGTTAGTACACAGCCTGACATGGGGCTCGAACTCGAGAACCACAAGATCATGACCTGAGTGTAAGTTGGACGCTTAACCTACTGAGCCACCCAGGCCCCCCAGATAAGATTATTTCTAATTTCTTTGTGCTCTGTAAATAAAATAACAGTAGATAGAAAGGAGGAAGTAGTGAGAACTTATCATTTCAGAGCCCTAATTCAAAGGCTTTCCCAATAGCTCTCATGGAGAGAAGAATGAAGCCAACAGCTCAGAAAAAGAGGCTTAGCCACTGCCAGAAAATATATTAAGTTTTATGAACATAATTACCATAAATAGTAATTATCATTAGGCTACAGGCTATTATTTATTAACATTGCTTTGATGCTAGAGAACATCCATAGAGTGATATACCAACCATTGCAAAGATATTGTTACCAAAAATAATCTAAATATTTCATTACTGAAATTTCATTCATATATATGTGTGTGTGTGTATGATTAAGATATCAAAGCTGATGTTCATATTTCATAAACATGACTTTTGGGCAAAGACCTATAGGACAAACAAAATATTCTGAAGTGGCCACTAAATCTTATCTAGTATTCCCATAAATGCAAAATTTAAGAGCATGTGCCAATTCACCAGTAACCAAGAAGGATATAAATACCTAGCACATAAGTGCCTACTATGCCAAAGCAAAACATAGGAGAGTGCAATAAATCTTAAAGTCGCTCTCCAAGAGAAGTAGTATTCTCACTTAAAAAAAAAATTTTTTTTTTAATGTTTGTCTTTATTTTTGAGACAGAGAGAGATAGAGCATGAGCAGGGGAGATGCAGAGAAAGAGGGAGACACAGAATCAGAAGCAGGCTTCAGGCTCTGAGCTGTCAGCACAGAGCCTGACGCAGGGCTAGAACTCGTCTACTGCGAGATCTTGACCTGAGCCAAGTCGGACGCTCAACCGACTGAGCCACCCAGGCGCCCCTTATTCTCACTTTATACACAATGAAACAGGATCGCAGTCCACAAAGTGCCAGAGGTGGGTCTAAACTAGATCTGATTCTACAGCAATAATATCTCTCATTTTACTACCCAGATGCTCAGATACACCTATCTACAGCAATTAGGCTCTTTCATATCAATCAGATATGCCTGAGAAGATACCCATTTTAGGTCCATGAAGTCTGGAACATAGATTCTTCAGTATACTCCTTTAATCTGGCTACTTGTATTCCCCGTCCTCACTTCCAATCTCCCCATATGGCAGTATGGCAAAGGGTATGCAAAGCCATAGAATAAATAAACATGGTACATCTTCCTAAATAATTCATTTTACTCAACAGTTTAGAGGGAAGCCTTTTTTTTGTTTGTTTTTGAGAGAAAGAGAGAGAAAGTGGAGAAGGGGCAGAGAGAGAAAGGGACAGAGGATTCTGAAGGGGGGCTCTGTGCTGACAGGCTGACAGCCACGAGCCCAATGTGGGGTCGAACCCACAAACTGTGAGATCATGCCCTGAGCTGAATTCAGATGCTCAATCGCCTGAGCCACCTAGGTGCCCCTAAAGGAAAGCCTTTTTAATGAAAACAAAACAAAACAAAACAAAACAAAACAAAACAAAACAAAACAAAACCAGGGATGGCAAAATTTCCAAGAATTTTTGAGATAAAATATCAGACTTCAAAAGCTTTTACATTTTCAAGGCTTTGGACTAGGTCCCCAGACAATTTAGGACTAGGTGTAGATTCACTCTGCCACCATCAGAAGAAATAGAAGAATTAAGTAGCATTGTCTGATACAACCATCCTTGTCTCAGATGAGATTCTCTCTCCAACTCTCATACTATGGAAGTTAACTTAAGTCCTTCAGAAGTCAGTGACAGGAAAGCAAAACTTCAACTTTGTTCTAAATGTCAGGCCTTCCTTTCACCTTCTTGCTTTTGGCACAGCTCTCTATTTCACACGTTAGAGCATGATGGGACTATAGACACCCATTATCCAGTCCAATGCTCTCATTTTCACAGGGCAGGAAACTGAAATAAAAATAGTGTATTTAGCCCTGGGTCACCACCTGATTCTTAGCAGAAACTGACCTTTCTACGCCACAAATCTCTCTCTGAAACATTTGCTCAAAATATCCATGCTGTCGTAGAGCCCTCCCAGAAAATATTATTTGATTATACAATATAGTCATATCTGATTTGGGGATTAGGCTTTTTAAAAGACAGCAATGTAATGCAAAACTCAAAATACAAAGCGGATTTTGAAACCTTCCTAATCCCTTAGTTTTCCTAACCCCTTAGGAAAATGAAGCCATGTTTGAGATCACATACCTTTTCATTAACTCCAGCATTAGATTTTCCTCTGGGGTAGAAGAGATTGTTTCTTCAATCAAGCATTGGATTAAGCAGCTATCTTGCTATTTTGAGCCATCTTGTCCCAACATTTGGGCTCAAACTCAGCCCAAGGTTCAAGGCTAGGCTGAGAAGCCAATAGATTCAATGCTCCCATCTCATGCTAACTCTGGGCCTCTATCACTGAATGGATGGAAGTGAATCACTCTTTTAATTTTTTAAAATATGTTCTGGTCAGGCACAAAATCTATTTTACACATATACATATATCTCTACTCTGATGCTATGATAGGTTCTTGCATTCAGCTTTTGTTTAACCTATATCTTGACACCCGTAAATCATTTTTTGTA